TGGAGACGGACTTGGCCTCTGTTGTGAGAGAACAGTGGACTGGGTCTTGAATCCTTTTGTGGCTCCTGTCTTTTTTATGTTCTCCCTCGGACTTTTCTGTATGGACCCTTTAGGGGACGGTCACCCCATCCCTGTGGCAAGACGTACACAGCAGCGGAGCTTCTTGGTCTGCGAGATTCCCCCCTCTCGCAGGCTTGGCCCCCCACGTTATCGAGGGCCTACCTCGATGACGGATTTTGGAATCCCGAGAGGTGGCATGCCGCAAAGAGGGGGCTGAGGGGTTTTTTAAAATTGTCTTTGTGTAAATTTTTAAGGGGTTTGGGGAGGGGGGTGGGGAGGGGGTGGGGAGGGAGGCCAGTCTGGCTGTTAATGGTGCCATAGGGGGTACGGACTCTGGGGGAAAGGGGACTGTTAGAATGCCCTCTATTGAGGGCTTTTCCATCAATACGCTGAGTGGGAGGGGCAGGTATGGCGGGAGCAGGGGGCCGCATCATGTGGTGGGGGCACGCGCTCGCTATCTCCGAGCGATTGCGTGCCCCGGTCCCCTTAGCTCTTCCCGTTCCTCAGGCTGCTTAGAGTCTCAGGGCCCGAGTTTCCGGCTGATGTTGTGTAATGCCAGGTCCGTAGTAAATAAAGCCCCCCTCATTTGTGATCTTATTCAGGAGGGGGGAGCGGACCTGGCAGGTATTACGGAGACCTGGTTGGGCCATGAGGGGGGGGTTCCCCTCGTGGAGATGTGCCCATCAGGCTTCCGTGCATTTCATCAGCCGAGAGCTCAGGGCAGGGGCGGGGGGGTGGCGGTCATTATAAGAGAGGGTCTTGATCCGAGGGAGACCACTGTGCCTCAGATAGCTGGATGTGAGTCCCTTTTCGTGAAGTGGGGTCGTGGGGTGCAGATGGGTCTGTTGATCACGTACCTGGCTCCCTGCCACGTGGCGACGACCCTGCCCGAACTCCTCAATGTTATAGCCGAGGTGGCGGCTGATACCCCCAGACTTCTGGTCATGGGGGATTTCAACTTGCCATCCATTGGTGAAACTTCTGAGGTAGCTCGGGAGTTCATGGCTTCCATGACGGCCATGGACCTGACCCAAGTAATTCACGGCCCTACTCACATGGGGGGACACACTCTGGACTTAGTTTTTGTCTCTGGTCAGTGGTTGAGTGGCCTTGATATAGGGGATATAGATACTGAACCCTTGTCATGGTCTGACCACTCGCTCCTTCGACTTGACTTTCTGACCGCCGCACCCCGTCGCAGGGAGGCGGAGCCGACCAGGTGGTTCCGCCCCAGGCGCCTGATGGATCCTGATAGGTTCCAGATGGAGCTTGGGCCATTTCCTGAAACTCTAGCTCACGACTCGGCTGATGACCTGGTGGCCGCCTGGGATAGTGCGGCTGCCGGGGCTTTGGACCGGGTCGTGCCTTTGCGGCTTCTGACCCGGCACCGAACTCACTTAGCTCCTTGGTTCTCCGAGGAGCTGAGAGAGATGAAGCGCCGGAAAAGACGCCTAGAGAGCGGTTGGAGGGCCAGTCGTTCCGAATCCGACTTGACACTGGTAAGGTCTCATATTAAGACCTACCTAGTGGCGATAAAAGCGGCGAAATCTAGCTATTTTGCCGCTCTTACCGCGTCATCAGATAACCGCCCAGCCGCCCTGTTCAGGGTGACCCGCTCCCTTCTCCATCTGGGAGTGCGGGAGGACCCCTTGCAGGGCCGAGCTGAGGATTTTGTACAGTATCTGGATGATAAAATAACTCAGATTCGGGAAAACTTGGCCACTGACTGGGTTAGTTCAGACGAGATGACTGAGGCAGGCCTTGAGAATGTTATCTGGGAGGAGTTCGATCCTGTGGCTCCCGAGGACGTGGACAGGATCTTGGGACGGCTGAACGCCACCACATGTTTATTGGACCCGTGTCCCTCCTGGTTGGTGCTGGCTTCCCGGGAGGTTACACGAGGCTGGCTCCAGGGAATTATCAACGCTTCTTTGAGTGAGGGTGTCCTGCCGGCCGCCTTGAAAGAGGCGGTGGTGAGGCCTCTCCTCAAGAAGCCATCCCTGGATCCGGCTGTTTTGGCTAACTATCGTCCAGTCTCCAACCTTCGCTTTATTGCGAAGGTTGTTGAGAGTGTGGTGGCACGACAGCTTCCACAGTACCTGGATGAAGCTGTCTATTTGGATCCGCTCCAGTCCGGTTTCAGACCTGGGTACAGCACGGAAACGGCATTGGTCGCGTTGGTGGATGATCTCTGGAGGGCTCGGGATAGGGGTTACTCCTCTATCCTGGTCCTGTTAGACCTCTCAGCGGCTTTTGATACCATCGACCATGGTATCATGTTGCGCCGGCTGGAGGGACTGGGAGTGGGGGGAACCGTTTTGCGGTGGTTCTCCTCCTATCTCTCCGACCGGTCGCAATCCGTGTTGACAGGGGGGCAGCGGTCGACCCCGAGGCGCCTTGTTTGTGGGGTGCCACAAGGGTCGGTCCTCTCGCCCCTCCTGTTCAACATTTATGTGAAGCCGCTGGGTGAGATCATCCGTGGTTTTGGGGTGGAGTTCCATCAGTACGCTGATGATACTCAGCTGTACATCTCCACCCCAGGCCATCCCAACGATGCCTTGGAAGTGATGTCCCAGTGCCTGGAGGCCGTGCGGGTCTGGATGGGGAGAAACAGGCTCCGACTCAACCCTTCCAAGACCGAGTGGCTGTGGCTGCCGGCGTCCCGGTATAGCCAGCTGACGCCATCGCTGGTTATTGGGGGTGACTCATTGGCCCCCACGGAAAGGGCCCGCAACTTGGGCATCCTCCTGGATGCACGGCTGTCCTTAGAAGGGCATCTGACAGCCGTGGCCAGGGGGGCTTTTTATCAGGTTCGCCTGATACGCCAGTTGCGCCCCTTTCTGGATCGGGACTCCCTACGCACAGTCACTCAAGCACTCGTCACTTCTCGTCTGGACTATTGTAACGCTCTCTACATGGGGCTCCCCTTGGGGTGCACCCAGAGGCTCCAACTGGTGCAGAATGCGGCCGCGCGGGGGATTATGGGAGCGACTGGGCGCTCCCATGTGACTCCTCTCCTGCGCGAGCTGCATTGGCTTCCGGTGGACTTCCGGGTGCGCTTCAAGGTGTTGGTGACCACCTTTAAAGCGCTCCATGGCTTAGGGCCGGGGTACTTACGGGACCGCCTTCTGCCACCAATTGCCTCCCACCGGCCAGTTCGCTCCCACAGAGAGGGCCTCCTCAGGGTGCCGTCGGCTAGACAATGCCGGCTGGCGACCCCCAGGAGAAGAGCCTTCTCTGTGGTGGCACCTACCCTTTGGAACAATCTACCCCCAGAGATACGAGTGATCTCCGACCTCCGGACCTTTCGTCGGGCCCTAAAAACTCATCTCTTTCAGTTAGCCGGTCTCTCTTGATTTTATGATTTTATGGTTGGTTTTAAATTTTGATATGGATTTTAAATTGATAAATTTTAAACTATGGGCCAAATTTAATTATTTTAAATCTATTTTTAATCGTATTTATGTATAAATGTTTTTATTTTGGCTGTTCACCGCCCTGAGTCCGAAAGGAGAAGGGCGGTATAGAAATTCGAATAATAATAATAATAATAATAATAATAATAATAATAATATTCAAATGAATACCCAGATGCCTCACTGTTCATGTATTGATATTGATGTATATTTTTTAAAAAAGAGACATAACTACATGAAAACCATGGGTTTGAACATTTATACTCTAAAGATGAGTAAGATTGGCTTTGGGCAAAGTCCACCTTTTCTAGATGCCCTACTAGGGCCATCAACTTTAGCTAAAATAAATTCTGGAGATTCTCTCCTCTTGTGTAACAAATGAGGGCATGGAATGTACTTATCTATGTGTGCATACAGATGTGTATATATATTTGTCAAAAACCATATTTCCCAATAGCAAAGGTAAAACAAACCAAAATATTAATTAAGTAAATTTCTGATTTAAATTAATTTCCTATGAATTAAAGGAACTTAAAATAATTTCATCCCCCTCTGCATATAACAACTGTTTTTCTTACTGCTCTCACATACAGAAACATATCACACTTAGAATACTGCATCCAGTTTTGCTCACCATATTATTAAAAAGAGAATCTGAAGGAGTGCAGCAAAGAACAACAAAGATGATTAGGGGGCTGGAGACTAAAACATGAGGAATGGTTGCAGGAATTGGGTTTGTCTAGTCTACTGAAAAGAAGGACTGGAAGTGATATGATAATAGTGTTTCAATATTTGAGGGGCTGCCACAAAGAAGAGAGGCTCAACCTATTTTCCAAAGAACTAGAAAGGCAAGACAAAAAACAATGGACGGAAACTAATTAAGGAGAGAAGCAACCTAGAACTAAGAAAAAAATTCCTGACAGAACAATTAACCAGTGAAACGGCTTGCCTTCAGAACTTGTAGGTGTTCCATCATTCAAGGTTTTTAAGAAGAGACTGAACAGCCACTTGTCTGGAATAGTATAGGGTCTTCTGCTTGAGCAGAGGATTGGACTAGAAGACGTCCGATGTCCCTTCCAACTCTGTTATTCTGTTATTCTTTTTTCTGGTCAGCAGAATAGCAGAAGGGGTGGGGGAGCAGAGAAGACTGGGTATGGGGTAAAGAGAAAAGGTAATTAGAGAAGGAAGGAAAGAAAAGAAAGAGAAAACCTGCCCAGGCATTACCAAAAGGATTAAAAATAATTAGACAAGCAGCAGGGATGAACCCAATTGGCGGGGGACAGATAATTTTCAAAGGCTTTCATGCTTTTCAGCTGCAGAGTATGCAGTTATTGGCTCCTATTCAGCAATATTTTCCATTCTCGGTGAATGTGATATAACCACCTTCCCAGAACAATGTAACTATGAAAGTGCTTGGTTCCTTAGTAATACTGTCTCAAGGACATTCATTTCCTTAGGAGTTTTATAAATGTTATGTCACTCAATGAAGCATCTGTCCTGCTTATACGCAGCTCTCTTTTACAGAAGAAAGAGTGGGACTGGGATGACAGCAAGCTACTGGTGATGCATGACCCAATCTACAGGTAAGAGATGTGAGTAAGGAAAGGCCCCTGGGATAAGGAAAAGTTAACTAGCAGTGTGCATATTATAGGCAAGTCTCCAATGACTTAAACAAGGTTCTGTTTTGCAGACAGGACTATTGAAAGCAATATCAATAGTATTGGGAATTATATACTGCTTCATGAAACAAACAAAATGTTAAAAAGCTATGATACTTATGTAGTTACTTACCAAAGCACATCTAAATTATATTAAAGTAACCAAAATATCTTTACAATCCCCAAAGCCCTTTTGAGTACCCCGTTTGGAAATTGAAAGTTGAAAAATTTGACATGCCCTACCGCTTCATAGTGCTTTGTAGAACTCTCTAAGTGGTTTACAGAGCCAGCATATTACACCCAACAATCTGGGTCTTCATTTTATCGACCTCGGAAGGATGGCAGGCTGAGTCAACCTTGAGCCAGTCAGAATTAAATTCCTGGCTCTGTGGGCAGAGTTATCCTCCAAGATTGCATTTTAATCACCATAGCTCTTAAAGAAGGTAGAAACTGCTGGTAGATAGCTGATCTTTACGTGGGTTTGTCTCTGTTTCTCCAGGTCATTTTGTTCCAGGTTGTAGGATATTTGAACTCTGCACACAGTCCAGAATGAATTCAGATTGGGACCTAAGATCAAGCTAGCACTTGACAGAGGTTTCTAGGTCTTGATGTGACAATGACAGCACTTTGAAAGATAGTCTCTATTTCAGTCTTCCCTTTTCACCAGTCGAACAACTTCATGCTTTAAGACATGAGCACTGTACATGCAGAACTATTTGTAGGAGAACTAATAATCCTTTGGATGGAATTCTGGAATTCATATTATAATTCTATCATGCTGCAGCTATAACTTGCATGACAGAAAATATTAATTGGTAACTGACCATATGCATTTTAAAAGTCAACCGTTTCACTAAACAGAAAAGAGCCTGTAGTACAGTGGACTAAAGCACTGTTATTAACAACTGCTGCTTGCAATTACTGCAAGTTCAAATCTCACCAGGCTCAAGGTTGACTCAGCCTTCCATCCTTTCAAAGGTAGGTGAAATGAGGACCCAGATTGTGGGGGCAATAAGCTGACTTTGTATAAATATACAAAAGTATGAAGGCTATTGCTTAACGCATTGTAAGCCACCCTGAGTCTCCGGAGAAGGGCGGCATATAAATTAAAGCAAAAAAAAAAAAAAAGCATTGGAATATTATTACAGTGTATTAATCATATTAGCAGATGGTAATAACATATCCTGATTAATAAAATACCTGCTTAAAAAAGAATGTGTAAGTGGTAGACTAAAAGAAAAGGAATAAATTGCAAAATGGTAATATTGGAAAGTATTATTGAGACAATCAGTGAGCACCCATACCTTGACTTGGCTTGCTTTTCTCCAAGACAGTGACAGAATAGCCCCATGATGGCGAACCTATGGCACGCATGCCACAGATGGCACACAGCGCCCTCTCTGGGCACGTAAGCCATCACATCAGTTCAACTCCGCTGCACATGCGTGTGCACCTCCAACCGGCCACCTGGTCGTCAGGTCTCTGCTGCACATGTGCGGTGGGCCCCACGGGGGCAGGAAGTGTGCGGGGGCGCATGCATGTGCAGTGGGGGTTCAGGCGCGCGCTTTGGGCACTCAGTTCAGAAAGGGTTAGCCATCACTGGAATAGCCTGTTTCCTATATGGCATGCATATTGCATATATAGTTCTGCTATTTTTGCAGGATATTTTATGTATCCCACGATTCCCAGGACCTGAAGATCTTCAGTTATATTGCAAGGGATGGCTCCAGTAACACCTTCCGTTGTAATGTTTTCAAGTCCAAGAAGAAGGTATGTTGCAAGTTGACAAGATACAAGCTTAGGGCCTCTTATAAATCCCTCTAATAACTGAAGGTCATCATTGCACTCTGGGGATATTGTGCATAGTTTGTATCTCCATTTTCTTGGAGTCTATTTACATGGGAATTGTAAACAGGTTTTCAGTATTTTCCTCTCATTAGGTTAGATTAGGTGCTATGGGGAAGGAGCTTCTTTGTACTTTCTAAACAAGATTTTTACTTATGCTCTGTGTTGATGATACTTGAAATAATACATTTCCTCCAGCATCTTTCCTCAACAGCTGGTCAAGTAGCTAATGAAAAGATGTCTGGAAACAAAGGTCAAAAAGTGAAAGTACCTGACAAGATGGAGGACTCATATACTGTTCTCTTACAGAGCAATGAGTTAAAATGGTGGCAGCGAAGGAAGCAGTATCAGATCACAGGGAGAAAAGTTACTAAATTAAGTAGGAAAGTATAAGGAGAGGGGGGGAAACGGAGAAAAAAGGAGCAGCAAGTTAGATAAGGAAGATAGATGGGATAAAGGAAAAGAAGAAATGAGGTAAGGAGGAAAACACTAGCAATATATTAGCGCAGCAAATGAATGGCTGCATGCTGAGTTGGAGGCAGCCGGCAATAGAGAATAGATCCCGCTCAGGAGCCCAACTAAGCAGCCCAATGCTGGAAAAGAGGCAACTGAGAGCAGTGAACCAGTGGTTGAACAGCGAGCAAGAAGGGAGGCAGCGAACCAGTGGGTTACAGTATATTCGGTAATTGTCTAGACCCATACTCCAACCTAGGCAGCCCGGCTCGAGGGGGCAGCCAGGTATCCCAGGGCCCAGGGCCTAGAAAACTAGAGGCAGCCTGACTACCACAGTCCTCCCACTGTGAACTTCCAGCCTGGCAGCCCTCCCCAGTGGCCTGCCCCATATGGAGGACTTGTGGAGAACTTGATCAACATTCCCTCACCAGCAAGATCAGCAGACACCTGACCCCTCGCCTTCTGCTAGCCCGGCAGCTCTTCCCAGTGGCCCATATGGTGGAGGACAAAGGGCCTGGAGCAACCCATCCAACAAAGGGAACTGGTGGCTGAGAAATCGGTGGTGGCAGAATCAGTGGAGGGGAGAAACGCAACAGCAGAATCCGTGGAGTGGAGATCATACTGTTTCCCTGGAAATTAGACCTACCCCGAAAATAAACCCTAGCCCGATTTTCACACCTGTGCCTAATATAAACCCTACCCCAAAATAAGCCCTAGTTAAGCCCTGCCTACTCCATCCCACCATCTGGTTGCTCATGGCCACAATGGGGCAGGAGGACACGTGGCACCCCAAGCATGGCAAGCTTGGGGAACAAACGGTGAACTAGAAGCAGTAGTACATGAGGGTAGATATGACATAGTTGCCATTACAGAAACCTGGTGGGATGAAGCCCATGACTGGAATGTACTGATGGATGGATACAAATTGTTCAAAAGAAACAGAACTACAAAAGGAAGAGGTGGAGTTGTACTATATGTGAGAGATCACTACATATCTACAGAAATGCACATGATAAAAGCTAAAACCCCTCTAGAATGTATATGGGTCAATATAAAAGGGGGGAAAGTGACATTGCATTAGTTTATATTATAGGCCATCCAACCAAACAGAAGAAATAGATGAATTTTTTGCCAACGTTAACAAATGTATGTAGGAAGCATATCACAGTAGTAATAGGAGACTATCCAGATATCAACTGGGAGACCAACTCTGCAGCAAGTGACACTTGACACTTCCGGCAGTGACGTCAGCGTGTTAGGGACAAAAGGAATGGTCTCCGTTCTCCAAGTCCCTAATATCTTCGATTTAGGAGCAGATTTAGGCACTATTGACCTCGGGGAGGTCAATAGGAAAAAGGGGAAACTCCGAGGACCTCGGGGAGGACAGCAATCCCCCTGAAGGTTCAGGAAATCCCCCTTAATCCTGATCGGGGAAGAACCAGCCACCCCAGCTGGCCAGAAACGTTGACAGCTGACTAAGAGGGAAGCGAAAATCAAATAAAGAAGACTTCGGTGGAAGGATTGGGAAGATAAAGAGCTCAAAAGGTATATTTACAATCCATAACGTGAGGATCGAAGGCGGGAGAAGATAAAACTCCAACTAAGAAGCAAACTATAGCTAAACAAGCGGCGACTGAGAAATAAGCGGAGACGGATTCCATCTTGACAGTGACAGCGCACAAATTAACAACCGGCGAAATCGGAGGAAATCCAGAGGAAACCCAGGAGGAGAAAGTGATCCCAGAGAAACTTGGACTTTGGACATTTTGCTACAGAAGAGAGACGGAATTTAAGGAGAGAAAGGGATAAATTTGACAGACTTTGCCCTTTGTGGAGGTGACAACGAGGCAATCAACAAGCAGCGGACACCGGAAGAGGGGGGGTTGGCAGAAAAACTCCGTTTAAAGTGGAAGCTAGGGGCTTTTGGAGCTAAATCAAACCAACATAAGTGGAATATTTTCCTTTGGACTTTTGGATATTTGGACGAAATTTGGACAGCATTTAGACATTTGGACTTGGACTTTTTTTTTTTGAAAGGTGGACACTTTGGAGTTTTGGTGGACACTGGACACTCAACTTAAAAGTATTGGGACTTGGATTTTTCTTTGAAAGGTGGACGCTTTGGAGTTTTGGTGGACACTGGACACTCAATTTAAAAGTATTGGGACTTGGATTTTTTTTTTTTGAAAGGTGGACGCTTTGGAGTTTGGTGGACACTGGACACTCAATTTAAAAGTATTGGGACTTGGATTTTTTTTTGAAAAGTGGACGCTTTGGAATTTTGGTGGACACTGGACACTCAATCTAAAAGTATTGGGACTTGGATTTTTTTTTTGAAAGGTGGATGCTTTGGAGTTTTGGTGGACACTGGACACTCAATTTAAAAGTATTGGGACTTGGATTTTTTTTTTTGAAAGGTGGACACTTTGGAGTTCTAGTGGACACTGGACACTCAACTTAAATATTAATATTAAATGTACTGTTTTTGAAATCTCATATTTAACCTTATATACCACATATATAACTGTTAACTTAGTTTTATATTTACTTTAAATATATATATACTTTAAATATATATTTATACTTATCTTAGTTCTATATTTTATCTTGGTAGTTAAATATATTGTTTTATATGTTTAGTTTTGAAAAATTATATTAGACAGACTAAGTGAATCTAGGATTGTAATTAAGGGTAATTGATATCGATAAATAGTAATTAATAATAAATTTAAATAAGATAGTAAGTAATTAATTATAAGGACAGTTAACTGATGAATTGCTGAAGTATTAGACTTTTCCCTCCCTCCCTCCCTCTATATTTCACCCCCATGTTTAGAGAGTAATATAGGCTAAATAGCCATCAAGAATTGAAGAACTCTGTAAAACATTGAAAAGTGAAAGATAGAACTTATAGATAAATTTATATATAGATAGTGATTGTGTGACAAGGAAACTTATCCTAGTTGTTTATCTCCCTGGGATTACTGAAAGCCATAAATTGAATATAAATACCAAAAGAAATATAACAGCCCAAATAGTAATCAGTATATGAAACTCTGGGAGAAGATAACAAAAGAAATACTAATGGCAACTACAGGCTCAGCAACAATTACTAAGTCAAGTAAAAAAATACCATCAAACCAGATGATACTCACGGCCTCTCCAGCACAACAAAAATCAGTTGAAACTACGGAAAAAGATAAAGCAACCCCCACTCTTAGTATGCAAAACATTCATTCCATATTAACGATGATCCAGGAAGGAATGAATAGAATGCAAGAGACCATGGCCCACAATCATGAGGAGACAAGGAAAAATCACGAAGAACTTAAGACGGATGTGGGAGAGATAAAGGATAATATTAGGAACATGGATGAGAAGATAGGAAAGATACAACAGAAAATAGAGGAAAACGAACAGAGGATTCATAAGGTGGAGGAGAGAATAGAACATACGGATAAGAGAATGGAGAAGATGGAATATAACCAAGCAGCCACAAATAAGGACCTAGAGGACTCGTTATCATATCTCGAAATGGAGAAGGCATCCTTCTACTTAAGGTTTCAGAATGTAGAAGAGCAAAAGGAGGAGGACTTAGGAGAAATCATGACTGAAATACTCTCAGAAGTGACCCAGAGGGACAAGGAAGAGATACAAAGTGGAATAGATGAAATCTATAGAGTTCACACGAACTACGCCCGGAGAAATAAGTTACCAAAAGAAATACACATTAGATTTACAAAAAAATTTTAAAAGAAGTGATCTACAGGAGGATGAGAGAAGATACAACTATGTATAGGGGAAAAGAAATTTTAACCCTCAAACAGATACCAAAAAGGACAAGGGACCAAAGAAGGAACAACTTTCTAACGGCACAGTTGAATAAATTTAAAATAAAGTTCCGCTGGCTAATACCGGAGGGTCTATTAATCTCCTGGGAAGACAAAAAATATAGAATTGATAACTTAGAAAAAGCACAGGACTTTTTCGATCAACACTTTGTACTGGAGGAGGAGCAGGAGAGCAGAGAAGAAGAGGAACTTAAGAGGCAAGAGGAACAGCGGACAGAGAAAGAAGAAAGAGATCAAGAAGAGGGGAGAAGATTGGAAAGAGAAAGAATGGAGAGAGAGGGAGCGAGGGAAAAGACGCAAAGAATTACTAGAAACACAAAAAGACTGAAAACAACGAATAGATAAATAAAGAGAGATGGAAAGGGAGCTAAAACTTATTTCAATCAATATAAACGGACTTAATTCACCAGCCAAAAGAAAACAGACATTTACAAAACTTCAAAAACTAGAAATAGATATCATAACACTCCAAGAAGTACATATCAAAAGACAGCATCAAAAATTATTGGACAATCAAAGATTAGGAAGACTATATGCATCTTTAGGAGACCAAAAAAAGAGAGGAGTCGTAATATATGTAAAGAAACACCTAAAAACAAAACAAATATATGCAGACACAGA